TCTTTCTCTACTCTTCTAATCCTCTCTAACAACCCACAGTGAAATCCCTTCAGCCGTAAGGCGAAAAAGAACGGAAAAAAGATCATTCTCCTTCGGAGGGATTGGTTCTTACAGAACTGATTGCGTTGATTGAAGATGCTCCAAGAAAGAGCATTTGGGTAGAGTGGCTGAAAGGACTATCAGTTCTTCAGTTGATCCGAAGTTTCCAATAGGTATGCTTGACGTGAGTATCCCNGGCATGGTACTATGTTTTCCTATGAAGAATTTGAAATTTGTTCAATCCATTCTTTCGTCTTTCTCTACTCTTCTAATCCTCTCTAACAACCCACAGTGAAATCCCTTCAGCCGTAAGGCGAAAAAGAACGGAAAAAAGATCAGTCTCCTTCGGAGGGATTGCTTCTTACAGAACTGATTGCGTTGATTGAAGATGCTCCAAGAAAGAGCATTTGGGTAGAGTGGCTGAAAGGACTATCAGTTCTTCAGTTGATCCGAAGTTTCCAATAGGTATGCTTGACGTGAGTATCCCTAACGACCATTGACGCACAACTCGCCAGAGGAAATCAGATTCTTACAGAATTGGAGGCATCCCTGGCCCAGCTAATTTGTGTGGTGTGGTGAGGTGAGGAACTGACGCTCTCTGCAGAATTGAAAATTTGAAGAGACTGCATCGGTTAAGTTTGAGCGAAAATTTCGGAACGGTACGCACATCAAACATACGTTTTCAGAACACTCACAGGTAAATGCCCTTCAAAAAGGGTGGTTGTTACAGAACTGATTATGTTGACTGTAGACGCTCTCAAAAAGCGCATTCGGGTAGAGTGGTTGAAAGGATTATCAGTTCTCAAGTTGTCCTTACTTTATATAAAGCGCTTGCGTCTGTCTGTCTGTCCGTCTGTCTGTCTGTTTGTACGGAAATTCATAACTCCTGTCCCCGTTGACCTAGGGCGTTCAACTTTAGTATTAGCACAGGCGGCAGGATGCGAACACATGTGGTGGGTGGCAGGACCGGACTCCGCCCACAGGGGCGGGGTCTGTGCGAACAAAATGTTTCAGCGGAAAATCATAACTCCTGTCTCAGTGGACCTAGAAAAATTGAATTTGGTAAGAGTACCCGAGACAGGATAGGAACACATATGTTGTGTGGCAGGACCGAACCCCGCCCACAGGGGCGGGGTCTGTGCGAACAAAATGTTGCAGCGGAAAGTCATAATTCTTGATCCCGTGAAGACGGAGAGCAAAATCAATAGGTGTAGAGGGTGCAGGATGGGACGATAGATAAGGCCTTAAAGAATCACCAGTTGAATCCTAACGCCTTTGTTATTTACGATTTAGCTGTGATTCTCTGATGTGATTCATTCGACAAGAAGGGTAAGTGCACTGATAGAGACCGATTATGAAATTTAGTTCACTTCTTGCTTACGACCGCTACCCAGCGAAGTTTGCGATTCAATGAAGGATCACGATTTCTTTCTGCTTTGATATCATTCATGGCAGAACTTATCCGACCGCTAACAGCCTTGGAGTCTCATTTAATGATGTATCCATAGATAAAAAGAGCTAGATTCATAAAGACGTTTGATAATGGTATTATTATGACTCGACAACATTCGTGAGTACTATTCAAGGTTTCGAATGCCTACCAGTTAACTCTTCAATGGGTCACTATTTTTAACATCAACGGCGACAGATCGATACTTTTAATCAAAGGCATTAGGCATCGGCTCATTTTGAATATCGTTTGCATGCCCTATTGTTCCTCTATCGAACTTCGTGTTCCAAAAAGTATCATTTGTTGAAAAGGAGGAGTGTGCTGTTTACTGTTTATCACAACTCTATCATAGGAGGAGGGAAGTCCGGCGTTAGCAGCGCGATCCGACTGTCTCTGTATATGAAGCGGTAACTTTGTGTGCCTGTTTGTGTGTAGGTTTGTGCGTCCTTCCGACAGTCATTTAGGTACGATGAAGAGTGTGAATATCACGCGGGAGCGGTGAGGAAACAGTTATGAAATGTGTAGTCAACCGATACTATCACATTTGTCCTCTATCAAGTCGTACGTAAGTGGTAGTGTGCATGTGGTGCACGCAATAACGTGCGTAGCCCAACTGGTATATATATATATAAACCGCTAACTTTGCGTGTCTGTTTGTATGCCCCTTTGTGTGTCCTCCCAAAAGTCACGTAGGCACGATCAAGGACGTGGAGATAAAATGATTAAATGCGTTATAAATGAAGCGGATACATATATTTCATCAGATGAGAATCTAAGGTCATTAGCGGTCGGATAAGTCTTGGCAAAAGTGTATTGAAGCGAAGAGGAGCCGTGATCCTTCATTGAGTTACAACATTGCTGGCAGTGGTCGTAAAAAGCATTCTCCTGACTATTTACTGTCATGCTAAATCCCTATACTATGGACGATTCAACTATCGGTTCTCATCCAACTGAGGGAGGAGAGAGGTTAGGCTTCGTGGGCAACTAAACTTTCTGCACACGAATAATTTTTACAGAACGTATCTTTGCATTTAACCTATTTTCCAGACTAGACGCGTATTTTTCTGCAGAAACATAATTGGAAATCCATAGAAATCTAATCTAATCGAAATCTCTAATTCTAAATAGGACTTTGCTCACAGATGCGCACTCCGAAGAACTATCCACTTCACAATACTTCAGTAGCTAGATGGAGGTTTTCCAAATTTGGAACTTAGGCGAAATCTATACGACAGCTGATTGTTTGTTCGTTCGTTCAATGTGCAGAAATTCGATATTACTTTAGGAAGCACCTGCATAAGTCGGGTCATGTTTGGGAGTTTGGGAGGATTATAGGCATAGGGCCAGATCAAAAAAACACATTTGAGCTCAGCAAAGCTCCTCCTTCTATGGGGGGGACGTGCACAGGATTGGGTGATGTCATGGACACAACTTCTTAAATTAGTTTCTAACAGCCCAGACACCGAGAAAAAAGTAATCAAAGTAGAGGGACAGGTCAACAAATCAAGTGAAGAAGAGCCACCGATAGTGGAAGGAGAGTTTTTGCACTGGGCGGTACTTTCCCCACAGGTTCATAACTCCATTCAAGGAGGGCGTGGAAGCTAGAAAAAGTGATAAAAGGAGTGAGCAGGGCCTTACAGTGAGCACAGCAGGGGTGCTTGGCATGCGTGCATAGGAAAGCTCCGTCCACGATAGGCTGGGGGCACGCGTTCAGGTGCTAGGTTCTTTTTGAGAATGCTTATGAATCTATTCAAAAACGTACTAATGTGGGGAGTGAGTGGTTAGAGGCTGTAGAAGGAATGCGGCCAAAACCCTAAAGTAAGGGTGTTTGCACTAAGGGGGAGGGGGATTGACGGGCCAAAATCAAATATTTATGAGTCTATTCAAAAACGTCCTAGAAAGCGGTCAAGAAGCGGCTGGAGGTTTGTTCTTTTACACCTTAACAGTGTTTTGCCGCATCCCAGAACATTTCTAAACAGAGTTATAAACTTTTATCTAAGTCACGCCCACGTTAGTGCCAACCGCGTCCACTTCAAGGATTTGGCCACATTTGTTCTTTTACACCTTAACACTTTTGCTGCATTCTAATACGTTTCCAAGCAAAGTTGCATTCACTTTTGAAAAGTGTCTTTCGTCTCAACGCACGCCCAGCACGCATAATGCCCTGCTCACTCCTTTTATTTTTTTCCTGGCCTTTGCGCCTCAACTGGAGCGAGTTATGATTACATCTGAAAAGTACCGCCCATTTTGAGAAGACTCCGCCTCTCCTCCGTCTGGTTTGTTGGCCCAATCCTCACCTTTGAACATTTCTCCCGGTGCCTGGACCTTCTTCGAAGCCAAAATAGGGCGTTTGGCTGTTCGCACCGCCCTTTTCGGCACTAGCCCCGCCCCCCGTGGGCGGAGCTCCGCAGATCTCATATGTGCTCTGTTAACTTCACCCTATGCTTCATTTCTTCCGAACTTGTGCCGATCTCTAAAGTTGTTTTCAAGTGATAAATGATTCCACGTTGGACATACAACAAACAAACAAACAAACAAACAAACATACATACATACATACATAACATACATACATACAAACAAACAAACAAACAAACGAACACACCAAACTTGTGGATTATATATAGTAAGGAATAGAAAGGATTAGGAGTTCCTCATAAGTAACCACGCATATTGCAAGGGAACCTTCTTATGCAACTAATTAATAGCAGGTAATGTGAATAGATTTAGAATTTGATAGATTATTACTACCCTAGAAATTTATGAATTTTGGCGCCCATAATTTTGGGACAACTTGTATATCTAACCCCAAGTCATATCTCCACTGCTGCTCATTTTATTCGAGCAAAAGGTTGCGGAGGTAAGGGAGGGGCTGTTTTGGTTGATGGGTTAGCCCCAAAGACTTCCCTTCCATGTTTGAGAACATGGAAGGTATACACTGGTTCCGGAGTGTCTACTCAGGTGGTCAGCCTTCCAGCTCACCCAGCTTCATTTTTAGCGAGAATCCGGACACTTTTGGGGGGCGTTTTAAGGGGAAAAACGCAGCTACATTTCTCTCGTTTCCTTTTTCCGCATTTACTACAGAGTAATGATCCTACTTCGCTTTGTTCTGAAAAATTTCATGGCAGCCGAAGAAATCTACACTGTGGAAATATCCATGCTAACCGTCAGTAAAATACTGCTGCTTCAAGATGACCTATTTTTCCTGTTAAACATCACAAATAAGATCTATGAACAGTAGTGGATCAGTACAAATAAGAGAGAATCACGAATAATCTACGACTACCAAAACCTTTGAGATCAATGTAATTTTGCAATCCAAAACTGTGTATCACCTGTTTCCAATATGTCTCAATTTTAATCGTACTAGTGGTACTGATTTGTAAAGCGATCACAGGAACGACGCGTGGCAAGGTGATTTACATCAATATGATGTCAAAAAGAAGCAATAGGTAGGGAAGACTTGTTTCGAGCACATAAAGATCATAGGTACAAGATTAACAAGGTCATGCTACGTTCCTGAGACGTCTTTCTCTAACAGAACACATTTTCCTCGTAACTGATCCAGACCATCGTGAGGTAAAACATAAGATGGTGCTTTTCTTTCCGGTCCTGCTTCAAATAAATTAAGAGAACTCTGCCGCAGGCTGGGGTATGACCACAGCCCCATATGCCTGGAAAAGAGTTCATAGCAGAAGCTTAGAGCAGTACACCACAAAAATAGTTTCTCACTTGCTTTTGCCATGGTATGCGAAAACGTAAACGGCATCTTCGTCCTTGACAACAACATCGGTAGCGGGAAGGATATCTTTAGAATTCACATCCACGTAAGCATACCCAGCCTGAAGAGACATTTATGAGTTTAGTACAGTGTTTTGCGAGACTTCCCATCTCTGCTTGGTTGAAATATGTTGGATGAAGAAATGAAGCATGGAAGCTCACGTAGGGTCGAAGCTAAAGAAAATTGCAACAATAAAATATTGGTCCGATCTCTGGCCGACTATCTGTTGCTTTTCTCATAACGTTTCAAGTCTCAAAATTTTTCAAGCTCACTGAGTCGAATCACGCGTGCACCACAAAATAACAGAGCACTAGGCAAGGGAAGACCCATCAGAAACAGAGCAAGACTAGCCTACTGGCATTTCACACGCAGCAATGCTTACACTTACAGTAACGAAAGTGTTTCGAAGTTGCTCTTGACATTAACAACGAAGATACTTCGACAGTTTACTTCCCTTTATCGAGTCTACTATCGCACCAACTTGAATATAACAATGCGATCTGGTTGGTCAACCGAAGCCTTGAATGACATTCTTTAACGTTTTCGAATGATGATTACACCATTTCAAAAAGTCGTTCTCCATGACCCTTCCTATTTTGTTACTAAGCACAATTCACCAAGTGTGTCTGATAGTGCTTGAACGTTTCTTGTGTTTGGACGTGGAGCGTTCAAATTTGGAGGTAAGTAGGCACCGATATAGGTAATGCAGACAGGAACCGATAAAGAGCCCGAGCGTTGTATCGAATTTTTACATCTTTTCGATTGCTCACGCCTTTACTCCTTTCCAACGTGCGGAGCTCTAGGGCTTGGGTGTTCCTGTGTTTTATTAGATCAGGAATTTCTGGGGCCTCGTAGTAAACCATTCTCTGACATTTAGACTTCTAATTCAAATCACTTTCATTGGCGAGGTTGTTCGTTCTTCGCTGTGTTCCGCATACTGTCGCCATGCGTGGTCCGCTGTGATTGTTGGCCACCTCCACATTCTTCTATCTAGGGCATCTTCTGAATTCGCTACAGAACCGAACATAATCTTCAGCTTATCTCGAATTTAATAGAGAACTTGAGTAAAGATACGAGAATGAATGCTCCAGACTTCAAAAAACAGTTTAATTTTCCAAAAACTGAAGGCATCACGTAAAATGTGCTTCTGTGCATCGCGCAATGCTTCAGCATTCAATGCTCTCAGGCAAAGTTCACAGAATGCCAAAAAACCAAAACTTTGCAAGCCAAGTCCCAGTGTTACTCCTCTGATAAACCAGTACAAACATCACATGTGTATGTTGAATTTGAACTAAAAGATTACTCACCAACAAAGCCCAATGAGCTCCGTGTCCGTTTCTCAACGCTGGCTCGAAGTTTTTCGCGCAATCGTAGGCGATCAGCACTGCCACACCACTATCTATCAACTTGAGCAATGTGGAAGCCTCAGGTATCGAGATAACTGTGGAGCGTACCGGCCACATGGAGGAAGCCAATTGACGTAACCACTCTGCTGAAAAACAATATTCCGGTTACGCCGAGAAGTTTTTGGATTAATTTGGTGCTGCCTACACCTCTTAAGTATTACTGTTAAGCTGTTTTTATGAACTGCTACTGTCGTTGCAACCGAAATCAAGCTAAACGTCAAGCGATACCATTAAACCAAGTTCCTCCTTGGGTGTGATGGAATAGGAAAGAGAAGAGGAACAATGAACTCGTCAGACTGCGAACCAAGACATTCCGAAACAGTCAGTAGCAAGCAGAACCACTTTTTGTGACTACCTAGACACCCTACAAGGAGAGCTCAACCGTCTCCGCATTCGAGCTAGATTTATTAAAAAAAAAAAAGTGGATTTGTTTGCAGGGAGAAGCGGCATCCGCTACGATACAGTTACAGGAACCCATGTCCAACTGGCTATTTGAAATTTGACCTATGCAGCTAGATGCTTTCGGATGCTCGACTGATTTATCTGGAGCCTACTATCCAAATTCACCAAACGATTCGCTGAATAGAGTTATGAGAAATATTTCGGAGAGCACTCAACATACGCGAACACAGAAGACGTGTAGTCGACGACTTTTCAGCGTAAGGTTGGAGATCTGTTGGAGATCTCGTATGAGTGATGCTCCATGTGGGAGAGGCCGCATTTTTGCCTCTGACAAGAATTTCCCTGATGCCTAGAATTTTTTTTACACTGATTTCATCCACTCAACTTTTTTCATGCCCAAGGTAATTCTTTTCCTAACTAAACCATATTTTGCGCGTTTATACACTATTTGTTCGCAGTACATAAGATTAATCCCTTTATGAAAATACCAGTTGGGCTACGCGCGCTAATGCGTGCACCACATGCCCACTACAGCTTACCTACGACTTGCTAGAGGACCAACATAAACAGTGTCGGTTGACTTCCTATTTCATAACTGTATCCTCACCGCTCTCACTTGACATTAACACTCTTCGTCGTGCCTACGTCACTTTCGCAAGGACGCACAAATGGGCATGCAGACAAACACACAAAATTACCGCTTTATACAGAGTGCGCCATAAATATGGTAACAACTTTTCGAACGTGCGTAATTTCCTTGTTCGGAGAGTTTCTCCAAAACTGCACCTCCCCTTATGTTTATACTATCCCTTGGCCCACATATCTACTTTGGTACTCTCAACTCGTCAGTTTTCGAAAAACGGTGGAGCCTCGCGGACATCCACCAACCGTTCCGTTTTTTCGCGCACTTGGTGAATCCTTTGCCGGTGACGTTCCTCGTTCTAACGTTCCCAATATGACAGTCTCTTAAATCGCGTAGCGTAGACAGGTCAAAAACAAACTCGAAATGGTCGTCTTGTCTCTTATAAGACCCCTTTTCTGAATACATTTTTTTGGGAAGGTGTATGGTGCAGAACCTGCAGGAACACGGGAAAAATGAGTGCTGATTTGTTTGTATGGTCTATTCCGATGAGAACAGTCTACCCTGAGTAAATACAATTGTGTCCAAATAGGACTCGAAAGTCCTATAAGCACTTTGACGAGAAGAAGTTGGAAAGAAAG